GGAGAGGGGGTGGGGGCATGGGGGGACAGGACGGGTTTCTCCTTGCCTAAAACACTGTCCTGCATCTCGGGGGGCTGCCTGGAAGCCTGCCAGAGAGCTAAAAGACTTGAGCTCAGGGGGCGTCTGACCGCTGCGCAGCGCACACTGCGCCACCTCACAATAGGCACTGCAATACAAACCGCACACAGAAAGAACACACACACACACACACTGATTTAGGAGCTCCCACACACACTCATGTCTGTGCACTTACCAACAAGTACCTGCTAACATCCACAGAAATGCTACAGCACATTCAAAAAAATGATCAGTTTTCTCTTTTAAAGAGACAGTTCAGAGCTTTTGGTGTGGGGTTATGTGAAAAAGTAATCAACAGTCAATATCTTACCTGCTGCAGATAGTTTGTTGAACATTAAATTGGAAAAATCGAGTTTCTTTCTGACTAGATTAGCTAACAGCTAGTTTAACTCAAAATATGATGAACAACCGCAAAAATGTTTTTTGATATTTTTTATGAACACTTACATCAACATAAGTTTTGTATAACTGTGTTTTGCAAAGTTGGGGGGGGGTCGCCAGGGGGCGCCTCAGAAAGCTTAAGGGAAGATAAGAAAAAAATAGCAAAAATAAAAAAGTTAAATGTTTTAAATAATGAGAAAATCAAATTTCTTTTTTAATCATTATTTTAAAAATATAATTTACAAAAAACTTCAAAATATTATTTCAGTTTTATTACAGTACCTGCCATCTACAAAACATAAGATATACATTTTCCCCTAAACTTCTGACAGAATCCCACTTCAAAAGATATGAACTATTCCTTTAATTGTACCTATGGCAGATATTCTAATACTTCACACAGTGTGGTAAGACAAAACACAGATTTATGTTACTGACATTTTTGCTTATATGTTCTCTGAAACACATGAAGACCAACAAGCTCAGGTTAATAAGTGGTGATGTTTGTCGGGGTCTCCAGTGGGTTTTAAATTAGAACATTAGGACACAGTCGACACCTTTCGTGATGAAGAGCACCTGAGCGTTGATTAAGTGAGATGTGTCAGTGGTATGTGTGGATGACACCTTCAAGAAAGTGAGGCAGAAAGAACATTAATCTCAGCTGGTATTTGGTACAGACGAGTTCGTGTTTCATGTCCTCTGCCAGACTGCGTAGGACCCTCCTCCTCCTCTCGGAGCCAGATTTGCGCCTCGGTTTGTTTTGAGTTGTGGTCGTTAGTTTCACACGGACCAGACTTGATACAATATTTCACCGCAGACGTTTGAACCTAAAATAGGACGAGCGCAGGTGTTTTCACTGAGGGCTGCATTAGATGTTCTACAGATAACCAACATGCACAGGTGCAGAAGTCCAACCCAGACCACATTAATAAACCTGAGCCAGGCCTTCTATTTTAAGTCAAAATGCTTGTCGTTGAGGACAAGCTATAGTAAAACAGAAAATGTCTTTGGGGCGGCTTCTGCAGATATGAAATAATCCTTTATGACACTGAAAAATCCCTGCAGTAGTTTTGCTTTACTTGGCAATATGTTGCTTTTTTTCTTAGATCAGGGGTGTCTCGTTTTCACTGAAGGACACGTGAGCATTATGGTGGACCTCAAAGGGCACCCGCTTTGGATGTTATCATCCATTAAATGGACGTTATTAGCCATTGTCAGTSCCACAGAATGGCTTCAGACTGTCAGCTGGTTARTATGAGGMATAAAGCCACTAAGGTTAATTTTAGAGAAAATGACATTGGCTACGATAAAGTAGACCTGACTCCRGYGGTAGCAGATTGTTGCATTCCAACATATATGGCACTGGTAACCCACTAGGGGGCACTGTTGGAACAGTCTGAAGCCATTCTATTGGACTGATAACCGCTAATAACGTCCATTTAATGGACTGATAACATCCAAACCGGCTGCAAAGGTCCARTTGTAATTAACGTTGATGTTTTGTGTTTTAACTTYATCTTAACAAGAATCGTCACGTTCCTCATCTCACTGCTATGGCTGAAAATCGCTAACAAACAAKAACTGCGCTCTACGTGTTATTTCCTGCATAGAAACAGCGTTTTAGCATGTTTTTTTTATAAACACTAAGAAGTACTACCTGTATAATGCATTAAATGTAGAATAAATACAAAAATACTAGTAAAAGTACACTGTTGAGGTGTGCTAAGTAGCTGCCATTTTGAATTCTGAACTATCCCACTTTCTGACAGCATATTCCCACTGTTTAAAATTATGAATTGTAATTGGGAAATTCCCACTTCCCAATACAACTGGGTCGTAGCAAAAGTAGCCGGCGAAAATGCAGCTACATAAATGTAGATCTGATGCAGGCTGCTTTTAAATTGTGTGCAGCTCCAGCTAGTGGGTGATGCCATCATTTTGCAGGTAAAATAGATTATTTTTATGCATTATGGGAAATGTCATTTATGGTCCATGCTGGCTTTAAAGCAGCATATTTCGAGACATTAATACAGGGTTATTCAACTAAATTGCTCAGGGGGCTACAGTTACTTAAAGCCAACAGCTGAGGGGCTGGACCAGTTTTATTATAAGCTGTACCGGTTTTTATAAACTGTACTTCAGTACTGGCTACAGTGTTCACCTCTGGAGATTATGTTCCTTTTCAATTCTTTCTTTAGTACAATCATCAAAATGACAATAAAAATTCACTTTTGAGTTTGTCAGATTAAATTTTCTTTTTACRATTTTTTAAAAGGTCTCTGACACTCCCCAAACACTACAACTAATCTTAGATATTTGTTACTCAAACCCAGAGAAGTGCACCCCTGGTGCTCGCATTTCCTCCAGACAAAAACTCATCTCACTTGTTAATATCAGCAATGATTAAGTGAGTGACCTATAAGGATTTTTTTTGGTAAAGATGAAGTGATTGGAATGAGGTGAAAAAACTAAATAAATAAAACAACAACAAGGAATCAAGAAACAAATAAAAAAAATCCAAAAGGAGGAGAAAAAAAAACAGTGAAAGGAAACTAAGTGGTTGAAGGGCTTTATGAGGGTGAGAAAAACACACCTCATATTCTCCATGGTGTCTTCTGGCATCGGGGCCACCGTCTGCACCGCTGGCAGATTTTTACTCGTTGCACCGTTAACAAATGATGAAGAGGAGGAAGTAGACGAGGAGGCAGAGTCTGTGGCACCTGGAGGTGGCCAGAGAGAGAGAAAGAGAGGCAGAGGGAAAAGGGTGAAAAGATAAGACAACAAATTAGAGAAACAGGAATCAAACGTGGCAACAATCAGCCTGGAAACAATGCTGATGATCAGTTACAAACAAATTTAATTTGGATTATATTTTACTGGACATGCTGCAGCAGTTTCTTCTGGTTATAGTTTGTGAAAATAGCTTTGCAATCAATAGACAGAATCCATTAGTGGGGAACAAACCCTGGCCTTGTCCATTATGCATGAATAATACAAGAAAATATCTGACAGGCTGATAGAGACTGGAATACAAATCCATTTTCCAACAATAAATCTGCTGAGCATGATGTCAGAGGAGGCGACTCTGAAAACCATCTTGAATTTGTTCATTTTTCAGTCTGACCTCAATCATTGTCAAAGGTGTTTTACAGGAAATATGAGCTATTATGTGTACACTTTATAATTTTTGTTCTGTTATTAATCTCAGTCATCGGTACCTTAGGGTTAGTTTTGTTTTCATTAGCCTTGTGGTAAAAAAAACAATCAGTGCAGCAAATCAACAACAACCTTTGTGACAAGATAAGACATTCAGAGGTGTTTCACAGAGCAACCTTTGTAACGTGTTTATTGTTTGTCTACAGAGAATGCAATCATTCAGAAATGGAATAAGAGAAGCTCTAATTGTGGCACCCAGGGAGAAACTGGGAGGCTCTGAAAGGAAGCAGAGTGCATCGTCATTAATTATTCAGTGCCCCATCCACATTTTCATATAAACTAAAGCACCTTGTTTTGGGTCACAAGCTGATTCCAAAGTCTGGGGCTAAGATCTCACTGTGGGTCATGAGACAGCAAGAGTGGGGTGCTGTGATAATGCTCATTAAATAGTTTTAATGCAGTTCTTTCATAGGATAAAAATAATACTCTGAAAAGGAATCCAGATTTTTTTTGTGTGTGTTTTATTGTTTGTTTAGTTTCTTTTGCATGTTTTTTTAGTATTGAACTACTTCGGCATACTTTCAGCTATTTTAACCATTTGTGTATTAAAATGTTTAGCTCGTTTAGGAGTGTTAGTGATTGCTTTTGGTATTTGTAGCTTCAACACTTTTTCAAACACTTGGCTGAATTCATGAAAATTGTTGGTTAGTTTAGTTTKCAGCTACTATTTTGCTGATTTTAGCTAGTCTTTAGCTACTGCTATGATCATTATAGTTTTAAGCCACAGTTTTGCTAATTTCACGTTTTGGCTAAAGTTATGCTCATTATTATGTTTGGCTTCTTTTTCTGGTTTTAGCTKTAAGCCTTTAGATACAGTTTAGCTCATTTTAGTTTTTAGTTGTATTTTTTGCTAATTTTAGCTTTTAGCTATTGTTTTGCTGATGTTAGCTAATAGCTACTATTTTGCTCATTTTAGTTTTTAGCTTCTGCTTTGCCAATTATAATTTTTTGCAACTTTAGGCTACCGTTTTGCTCATTTTAACATTTGGCTTCTGTTTTCTGTTTTTAGCTTTAAAGGCACAGTGTGTAAGATTTTGTCAATTCTTTTAGCCGAAATTGAGATAATCACTAATGACAATAATAAAAAAAAAACATGTCTAATCATTGCAGACAAAGACCTTGTTTTATTATTCTCACCTTATAAAAAGCTGTTTATATCTCCATGGTCGCGGGTCGCCACTACAGGCAGCTGCCATCTTGTCTACGAAGGCTCATGAAGGACAAACTGCGGTGGCGGCGTCAAAAACGGTTTTAGTTGTAATACTATAAATGTAATATTTGTTGTCTGTCATTGTAGCTGGGATAATTTTACTTATTAAAGCTCATAATCTTACCACTTGAAACATCACTAGCCCGGAAGCTGCTGGTAGACATCGTGGTTGGAATTACCAAAGGTTTTTGACACCTGAGAGACACCATAGCAACTCCGTTGCGTTTGGAAGTGGGGGGTGGGGGTGGGGGGAGGACCAGGGAGGATGATTCAACCACTCAACCACTAGATGTCGCTGAAAACAACAAATCCTACACACTGTGCCTTTAAGCTGTTGTTATGGCTATAACCTAGGTAATTTTAGCTTTTAATTATTTTTCTGCACCTTTTAGATCTAGCTCCTGTTTTGCTCATTTTAGATTTTCAATATTCTGTTCCTTTTAGCTCCCGTTCAGCTAGCTTTAGCTTTAACATTTCAATTCAATAAATTTCGGCCATGTCATTCAGAACTCAGCATTCTTCTATAAAACATGAAATGTTCTAGCTTTATTTGTTTAATCTATTAGTAAAACTTTCATTCTTCAACTAGCGACAGAGTGTCTTTAGTCTTTGCCTGGAGATATTTTCTRAGTTGGAAGCTGAAACGTTTGGGGATCTGTGCTCTAATCTCTAAACTTCAGCCGTTTCTGGATAATCTCCCACCTGTAGTGTTGATCATGCTCTTGGGTGTTGCTGTTGCAGCAGCAAAAATGTTGGGTGTGCTGCCGGCAGTGGCAGCTCCACTGGTAGTGGGCGTGCCCACCGTGTTAACCGACAGGCTACCAGGGGGCGGCTTTTTTACTGGAACCACAACACTCCTGGAAAAGACAGAACACAAAGATGTTTTAGTAAAATGATGCTCTGCTGTGTAAAAGTGTCACCTGCAGTAAATGTAAACCCAAGGTAATACTATGGTCTGGTCCGGTACATTATAGTCACATTTATTTAACCAATAAAATGTGTTTATGTACATATTGTTCACAAATCTTTACAAATCAAAACACCAGTGATTGTGACAGGACTCAGGAGTGCCTCCACATGATGAATGTTGGTTCCAAAATAAATATTGTTCCTTCGGCAAAATCAGGAAGCTAAAATAATATTCTCACATTTGCTAACAGATGGAAACTTTAACATCACCATCAGGGAAGAGAGACTGTTGCTGTTTTGGACCTGAAAATAAATCCGGTTTTAACTGGTAAAAATAAATCATCTTCTCAAATTTCTCAATGCAGTATTAGCAGACTTTGAAAATAAAAGTACTCACTATTTAAATTAATTTTCATTAAATTAAAGGCCAGATGATGAAATCTGAAGCTACTTCCAAGAGTTTGAAACTGAGAGCATTTAAATGTAAAACTAATTAGTAGCAAAGCTGTGGTTCTGTATATGAAGATATTGTTTTTTGCAAAACCAAAGACGATTAAAACTTTGCTTGAACAATTTTTGTAATTTATATGAAATGATGGGACAGATTCATGTCTGACCTATAAAGACAAGCGGAAGGAATAATGTGGGGATCTCAGTGATGGATATGGAGCATCTGTCATTAATAATGCACACTATGTTCAATCAATAACCCTCTGAGACGGTGACAGAGCAGAATCAAGGAGACTAAATGATGTGCAGGAGGTTATAGCACTTCATCACTTAAAGGTATCATATCATGCTTTTAAATCCTTCTTTTTCATGTCTAAATCATTCACTTATGATCTATTTAAAATAAAACTGCAACACTTTGGTCTGCTGAGATTGAGAATACTAACTGGAATGAGGGTATTTCTCTGTCAAATCCAAATCGTATTTTGTCAAATTTTTATGATAAGTTGGAGACAATACAGGAAAAATATATTTTCAACTTGTAAAGATCCAGTCTGGAAAAATAAAATTCCATGGTTGAATGCCTCTATAATACATCTCCTAAAGTTGAAAGCTTCTTCAATGAAAACTTATAGAATATCAAAAACTTCTGAAAATCGGTCTCGTTTAAACAGTTACCGAAATAAATGTGTTGCTGAATTACTCAAACCAAACAACAATATTTAAAAAAATCAAATTATTTCAGCCAGTAAGAATCCAAAATCCAAAAATATTATGGGAAACGATTAAGTC